AGGTGAGGCTCTATGAGTTCACAGCTGAGCCATAGATTCCTCCTAGACTTAGCCTACCTTTAAAAGCTGATTGAATGCTCTTCTAACACTAGTGTGGGTGATTTAACTCAAAAATCGACCATCGCTTTTTCAGGTGGTGCTGCCTGTATGTCTGCTGTTCAGTTGTGAGCTGTACGCGAATATTCAATTGTCAGGTCAAACGACATCGATGGTGACCTCACAGCCTCCACTTCCTTTGATAGGGGAGATGTATGGAAACAACACCTACAGTTATGTTAGGTAAGGGCTAAATTTGTATTCCTGTGTTTACTCAATCACTTACCATACATTTTGCAATTAATAGTCCTAAACTGGAGCCCAGACGTGAATTTGTAAGCCCTAGTTGATTCCAGAGGAGGGAAAACTCATCCGGGCTACCTAGGCTCGCATGAGGCGTGGACTTGACGTGGGTGCGCCGGCAGCGGAGCAAAGGTTGATGGCCTGCGCCTCCGCCACTGTGCCCAGAACAACAGCAACCTTCATGTGGAAGGAAAAAGAAGGATAATATTGAACTATAGTGGACGCTTATAGGTGAGGTAGTAGTGAGAGAATACAGAAAAGTCGACTGTCACTGCGAGTTACTTCAGTAATATGGCGAAACAGGCGAAATAGTTCCCTTCGATTACCGTTATACCGTTATAAGGTCACATCCAACTGTTGGCAATTTGCCAAACCTCACCTTAAACGTTTGCGTAAGAGCTGTTTGCGTCGTTTCACAATCGAAGGGAACTATTTCGCCAGTTTTCGCCATTTGCTGAAGTAATTCGCCCTGATAGTCGACTTTTCTGTATTCTCTCACCACTACCACTAACTCACCTGTAAGCATCCACTATCTGTTCAATCATCTTTCTCTCTCTATTTTCCTCTTTTTCCTTCCACATGAAAGCCAACTGCTTTCGCTTCGCCTGCGCCTGCGGGACAGGTCAAAATTCGGACGCCGCAACGAGCATGGGCATCTTGCGTTTCTCCACGAGTCAATTTGGCTCACCACGTAGAAGAAGCGGAGCTCTCGGAGTTACACTGATGATCGAGGCCTGCTTTTCCCCGTTCGATCTTACCGTGCACGGACCGTTGAGGAAAAGCGAAAGATGTCACTGGAAAAAGGGCGAGCAGACGGCGGAAGCAAAGTAGGGAAAGACGATGAGCGAGTCGAACAGACATGGTCGCACGAGATGTGTTCGGAACACTGTCTTATCTCTTGATGATACCCACGTGGTGATCGCAGCTTGCTACAGAATCGATGAGGTCTCGGCGCTTTCGTCACTCACTTTCAAAGCACGAAAACTTTGCAATTTCTGTGGGCAGAGCTGTCTTACACAGCTAGGGAAGTGGGAATATCATGTGAAGTTGTGAGCTGCGTCGTTAAGGCATAATTCAGGTACATTGCAATCATTTCCCTTCCCGCTATTTCCTCTTTTTTCTCTTCCTCGCTTATATGGCCGCGGAAAAGAAGTTGAGAAATGCATCTCTTAAGGCACAGTCCAGATTCATTGCATGGGCGGAATCAGGCCACATATGCATTCCATTTCCCTTCTTCACTCTTGTAGCCATGAAGTGGAGAAGCGCGCCGGTGAGGAATCTAGAATAACATGACTGCCTCCTTCGGACGAGCACATGACCCGCCTTCGAAAAAGAAAATCCGCGATTGCCTGATTTACAAAGTACTTCTGGGATGAGCTGGGCTAGCAGTCTGTTAGGCAATGAAGTTAGGTATGTTCATCAGCAATTTATGGTGTTTTCAGCCTATGGGACCGGAATTCATCGTCCATTTCCTATAAAATAATGAAATCCTTCGAGGAACCACCCGATATGGGAACTCGTTGTGTGAATGACGTGCCCATATTCCACAGGTATTTTATTCTACGATTATCTCTTAATAAAAATGAAGGCACTATTTACCCTTCACTGCCCGCCAATCTTCTAAAACTAGGGAGGAGCAGTTTTTGAGCGACTTTTTTCTCGCGTGGACAGATGGACCTCAAAATGTGTGTGTCTCTGAGGTAGTTTGACCTTACTGATACGAATGTCAGCAATTCGATAAGCGCGGCCGAACCTGGCGCGCACCACAGGCACACGGCCGCCGAAAATACCTTGAATGCCCAAATTCGCGTGAAACTGTTCCTGAGCTAGCTGGCCTTCTGAACACGAATATCGCATCCGCTTGGCCCAAAACCTCCTGGCGCTCGCGCTACAGGTACTGGCGCCAAAATACTCCAAATCATCGGCGCTTGTGGCGCGGGCGCCATGGAGTTTCGGGCTAAGCGAATGTGTTGTTCGTATTTAGGAGGTCAAACTACCCCAGGAGACAACATTTGAGCCAAATCTGTCCACGGAGAAAAAAGTCGGTCAAAAACTGGCTCAATTCTGGATGGTTGGGGCAGTAAAGGGTAAATAGTGCCTGCTATTACTTATTTTTAGAGATTTACCGACATCAAAAGTTTTTTGGATAGGGAAAAAGAAGCCAGAGTGGGTTCATATCAGTGTAATGCATGCAATGCGATTTTGTTGTACTTTTCGCGATTATCCAATCAATACGTTTACGGTCTGTCCAATCAATTAATCGATCAATATTTGCGACAGTATTTGTTGATTAATAGAGAACAGCCAAAAATCAGATTGGTTGAAAAATCGGACCTTCTTCTCCTGATCACTCCTACTTTTTTCTAACATGTCTGGGTTCTAACATAAACTTGCTTGAACTTTCCTATTTCAACGTACGAGTAGGTTTCTAGTAAGACTCATAATGTTTGTGAAGTGGTCGAAGCTTACTTTTTCTTTTCGCAAGTAGGGAGAGGGGTTCATGGCAGCACTGTCGGATGGCTGAATGGATGTTCCTCAAACAGTATCGTGGGAAGTTCGATCTTTCCTACCGTGCATACCAAATAGGCCCTGCTAGACAGCTGACTGGATTCCGGGGTCCTCAAAGATCCTCTTCGTAGAACATCAGTCCAGCCATCCGTGCAGTACAACGTGTAAGCCGTTCAATTTGTAGGCCATCATTTTCAGGCAGCTTGAGGCGGGTTGCGATAAGACTGCAGGGAATGGAACGTTCAACTGGAATGCTAATGAGACGGAAATACCGTACAATACCGATGTCAACTGTCAATGCACCAGCGCCCTTGTGTGGAATTGTACAGCGGTGAGCAGTTCTAAATTAACGGCGCAGCGCTTCGGAAAATAGGTTAATCCTTGTTGAGAATAATGTTCCATACCCCTTTCGTGTACGGTACAGCATTTTTTCGGGTGTTCTGCGGGTTTTCTATGAAGCACCAATTTTAAAATGAAGTTCTCGTCTTGCAACAGTGGGCCCAATCTTCATCTCTCTCATTTGACGCCCGCTGAATCAGAGAAAGTTGTGAGGCTTTGTCTCGTTCAGGGGCACATAGGCACTTTGCTCACATCTCGCGCCTATATTAGAGTCTAGTTCGCTGTGGACGCCGGGGCGTGCCAGAGAGGGCGGACTTGACGCAGAGCTAGCTCGTTCCCACCCATTTGTTTGCCTGTCTACTTGCCTACTCAGAAAAGTTAGAGAAACCTGACCTCGATAAAAGAACAACAGATAGTGAGGCACTTGCTGTGCATACAGCCATATTCGCCGCAGACGCTGGGCGTATAACAGGGAGGGGGATCGCTTTGGCGTTGCACCATCCTGTTTACCACCATCTGTTGGTGCGAGCAAGCGACAACAATTGGCGAAAACGGGCTCTCTGATGCGTCTCAGCATCTGCAGCGTCGACGAATGAACGCGTTCTACTATAGAGTGAACACAAAAGTGAAGTTCATCATCATTGTTCAGAAAAACTATCCACTCGACTCGATACCCTCCGTCACGTTGAACACAACAATGCGTGTGTTAGATATGTCCTACCGAAATATCTCTCAAATGAGATTGGCAACTCGATGGTGGGCTAACGACACCATGATTGATGTGTGAGTTCTTTGTAGACAGCTCGAATATTTTCCAATTCCAAAAAAGTAAAAATTGTATTTTGTGTACGCCTCTACCTATGAGACGAGTTTTTTTTTTCTTGACAATCCGATCAAATCACAGCTTTGTGAACCCTCAGCGGCATAGGAGTGTCATGTTTAATTTGACAAATTTCCTATTTATTATTTCTTAGCATATAGCGTGAACCATCGACAGCGAAAAGCGGATTGGATTTGTATTGGTGTTGTGGAGTGTGGAATTTCGAATTTGCGGAAGAATCGGGTTCTGCCGTTCCTCTTAGGTGTAGTATGTGCACGTACCCCTAGCAGACCGTTTCGCAAAATTTTACTAGTAGACAGTTGAGGAGATGGGAAAGGTCCACCTTTGAGGCCCGAAGACTCTGTACTCGAGGGAGCTGTGGAGAGCATCGAGCTTTTCTTCGTTACTATGAAGGTCCTGATTTGATTCATACCACTGTACCGTAAGGAAAGGTACTTATTTCCCGTGAAAAGCCTGTCCAGCCTCTTTCCTTCCCAGTTCTCTCCCTACACGGTCACCCCTTCTTTCTGCTGTGGTGTTACATGACATATACACCTCCTGCAGAGCTTACACTTTCATTCGAAAGCAAGTGAACTTGCGAGTAGTCTTACAAAAAACTATAAAGTACTCGTGTGAAATTTGGCATTTTTCAGTTTGGGTGGCTTCTCTTTGGGTCATACTAGTCTGCGAGCAAGAACTTCTGGTCAGGTCCAAACGGAGCTCCAGGGCTGGCATAATTTGGTCTCAGGTGAGATTGAAGTTTGCTCGTAGATTCTCCAGGGGTGAGATTGAAGTTTGCTCGTAGATTTTCCAGTATAACAAGATTCCTTGATATTGAAAAGATATTCCTCTAAACACTGTAGCGTTTAGGAATCAACAAAACAGCTGCTGCTCTTAACATGCACATGACTCCTGGAGGTGATGCTCCTGCGTTAGTGGATCCATTTCTAAAAAACATGACTGTCTCGGATTTCATGGCCGGTGTACTGGGGTCCATGGAGGCACAGGAAAATGTTAAGGTTAGTTGAACGTGCTCAAGAAAAAAAAATACAATTTTCTAGACGTTCCGCTATAACATGATCTGGGTGGTCAGAATGGAAAGCGCGGGTTCTGAAGTCACTGCTAGGAATTTGACGCAAAGCCTTTACACTTCAGCTCGCAAGATCTCGAGACCTTTTGGAAACGCGCCAATAATCCCAACTTTTTTGCAGGCATGGTTCAACAACAAGCTGTACACGTCTCTGCCGATATTTACGAGCTTTCTGAGCAACGCTTTGTTGAGAGTCGAGTCTAAAGATACAGGTAATGTTTGCTTGTTTCCTAAATTATCTTCTTTAGTGGGGGCGCTGAAAGACCAAATTTACCACATCATTCACTACGCATAAAGGTGTAGTAGACTGGCTTGTAAGTAATATACAGGGGGGGGGGCCAAAAAAGTCACTTTCTTCATTGACTTTCGAGGCGCTATAAGTTACACTTTATTAAATTCTGATCGGACATTTTTACCACCATATTGAAGAGCATATTAAATACTATCATGACACTCCGCCACAGCCTTCTGGACGAGCGCCATCGAGAGATTCTGGCACGCGACCGCGATGTGGTGCCTGAGATCAGCGAGATAGTCGATTTCTCCGCCACCGTAGACCACCCTATTGAACTCCGCCCGAACCGGGTAATTGAGGGGATTCAGGTCAGGTGACCTACTTGGATATTCCATCTTCTTTAGGTACTCAGCCCCCTTCCATTCCAAGTAGGCGAGAGTTTCTCCAATGCCCTTCGATTCCATGTGGTGGCACCCAATGCTGTAGCAGTACAAAGTTTCCAAGAAGGTACGGGCGACGACATGTGAGGAGGATATTCTTCACGAGTTGCCCAATGTAACCGCCAGCGCTCACCTTCAGTCCGGGGTCCACGAAGAAAATATTGGTCTTTCCATTCCAGGTACGTCCGGTCCATACCATCAACCCGCGCCTTGACGACTGTGGTGAAGATGATGTCCTAGACCGTAGCGACGTTGTCGGACTGCTCGATGTTGGGAGGTCTCCTAGATCGAGAGTACTGGTCTGCAGCTAGCTATCCATGGGTGACTCCATACTAGAAGTTTCGCAGCTGTTTGGAGAGGTGACATTGAATTGCAAAGGTCTTCTTTCAGTCAGGTTGCGATTGGAGATGACTTCATATTTTCGGTGTACATGAAGGTGATGGGCGAGAGCCAGCTCCTGCTTATAGAGGAACATCTTGGGTATCTTCCGCCCTGGTACTCGTATCCACGTCCTCTGTCTGGGCAGCGAAAACTTTGCTGATATGTGACTCGGTCGAAGTGACTTTTTTTGCCCTGCCCCCGTGTACGTTGCTAGTCGTGAGTCAGAGACATACGCTTCAAACTATGCCTAACCTCTGGTTTGTTGCGAATGAGACGGCGTGTCAGGCTGGATGAGTTTGACGCGGCACCAAATTCATTCTCCACCAGCTGTTGAAGCGGGAGAAGCGGCACCAGTCGGTTGAAAAAGACTGATACGAACGGTATGATACAGTCTTGTGCTTTGCTCGCTTCAGCAATTGGTGGAAAACGGCCTGATGCCGCGCCAAACCCATCTCCCTTGACACGCGCGTTCCGCCAGATTTTTTTGATGCGTGGTAATGGATAACGAGCTAGTAACATTCCTGCATTTCATTGTTCCAGACTCTTTCGCACTCGTAATTCGCTTGTGAAAGATCGTCGTCTGGACAAATTAGGGCACTGTGCTACCGACTGATGTAGCATTTACGCAGACGTGTGCCAGCTCTCGTTCTCATCACAAACTTCGGGATTTGAACCTTACTCCCGAAGTGTATACAAACCCAGGAAATTTAAGAGAGTGGGAGCTACTCCTCCTTTATCATAAAAAAGCAGGTTCAGCGTCGATATCCCTAGATTACTTAAGGACACTACTGTTTGAGGGGCTTGTTAGAATTCTATAGAATATAGAAAAAAAACCAAGTTCTCAATGTAAGCCTGAGAAGTCGTGACGTAGCCTTTCTATAATGCGCCCGCGTGTGCAATCAGTTGCACACAATAACGTTGACGATTTCTCCTTTACAGATCCTTCCAAAATTGGTATCATTGCCATCAATCATCCAATGAATCAGACAGTAAGGACAAGTTTTGATGCGCAAGCCAGGTCAGTGAACGCTCTTTCTCCCATTGTGAAGTTGATCATTATCATATATTTGTCTTCTGGGTTCTCACTGGATCCCTTTGAACTTTGAAGAAATACTCCACGTTTGCAGTGTGGGCGGGCCCAAACCCATCGTTGCGCTTTCATTATTGGCGTGCCCTCGTTTTCAAGGCAATGAAGGCGAGGGGTGCGTCAAGGAGGACAGCGTAGTGTAGCTTCCGTGCGCTCCAAGACGAAGGCAGAATGTGTTCTTAAGCTGTTCATTTCAGTTCAAAATTGATCGTCTTCCGCATTGTACTGATCTTGTTGGTATTATGCCTTATTCCTGCCGGATTCACGGTGTTTCTTGTAGAAGGTAGGATATACTTTTCGAAATTATATTACTAAAGGCTGAGCGAAGAGTTTACGAATTAGTTGAACGAAGTTTTCGAATGTTGAAGTGGCAGAACTGTTTCTAGAATCAGGATAGGAAATTTACCGCATCTTGTGTGCTTATTAAATTCCGCTTGGTACCAGGCATATAGGTCAATGCTTATGGGCAGGCAACAGCCGGTTCTCACCAACTTGTGTGGCCTGTCTCGCTTCAGGAATCCAACATTGAAGAACTCAGTGATCTTTGCGTGTACCTCAAAAGGACTCTTCACATATTCGTTCAATGCAGTATCAAGCTTTTTGAGGTTTAGCTAGCTTAACGATAGGCTTACTCAGGAAACGAAAAAAAAGGTCGAAATCGACAAAGCGAATAGCCTCAAGCCACATAGCCATACAAGTGTTGAGCTCCTATTTCACAATAGAACAGTAAGAATGTAGCGAAAAGAGCGGAAGAAAGAAAATACGGTAATGCTACCCTCACAGGGATGGAGTTTGAGCACCTTTACTGACAGCAATAAAAAAAACCCCGCTAACCTGCGCGTAATTGAACAACTTTCAATTGCCTACCATTGCGAATATTTCAGAGCGAGTCTGTGATGCCTTTCATCTGCAGCTTGTCAGCGGTTTATCGAGGCTCACGTACTGGCTGACTGGATATGTGTTTGTATATGGTAAGTTGTGGTTTAAGGATACTGTTTGCTACCATCATATCAAAACTTTGCTTGCCAAAGATTACAGAAAAAAGGCCATTAGGCTTTTTCAATAGGTAGGCACCCTTTCGTAGGGGTTGTGTATTGCTAACTGATGGTGCCTACCATGCGATTGGTGTTTGGATAGAATTCACTGCCGAATTTTTAGGCCATTCGATTATTCAATCATTTTGGGGTTAACAAATTGCCACCCGGCTTGTCCGGAAGGATACAAACAATCACTGGTAGGGTGCAATGTACATTCCAGAATGTATTATTTGACGCCTTGCTTCATCTTTTATCATCGGCCTGATGCCTGAGGGCAGCGAATAATGCAGGTTGCGTCCTGAGACCGAGCGCTTCCTCCGAAGGTGGGAGGTCGCCTGTAAAGGGAGAAATGCTACAAACGACAAGTTCTTATGACCGATTTTCCTGTGTTCCGGCATTAGGAGTGATGAGCTGACCAAATTTATCTTCTTTTCCAGAGTATCTACATCTTGTCTGTGGTGGCCATTCTCTTGATCTATGTCGCTTTCGGTGTAAAGGAGTTTGCGTACAGTTTCGAGGCACTTTGCTGCTTCTTCCTCGTATTCCTGCTCTACGGGTAAGTCCAGGCTTTTTTCGAAATTTGCGTCTTTAATGTTTTATGTTGAACAAATGACTGTTTGCTAACCACAACTCGTATTAGGATGGTCTCTAGAAAAATCATTAGTAGCTCCTCCATACGGGAACATTATCGTTCTATAGAAAAGAACGAGGTAGGGTCGTATTTGACTTTTAGAGGAGTTTTCCGATTGTTGGTTTCCCCTTCAGCGCACACCAAACCCTTCCCGACCAGCAGTGTGGTACGGAAACTGTTACTGGAAATTGGTATCGGAGGCTTCTACAGCCATCCCTTTCCCGGCTTGACGGGGAATTCAGTAAGATGGTAGTTAAGTTATGAAAGAAGTCGTACGAAAAAAAAATTCGGAAAAGTGGTACCTAGCACAGATTTGGCTAACTTTCGCCGTTGTTGAAACGCCATATCACATGGAAACCTTCGGTTTAAAAAGTACCTGGACGCTGGCTGGAGCACTAAAGGGGGCGATCATCTTAGCCATTTTTGACTTTATGCATCCGCGGTAGTGCAGATCGCTTTTGATTCCATGAACTGCCCATTCACATTATTTACCTTCGTTTACCAAAAAAAATGTGAATCGTTCAGCCAAGATATTTTAGGCTCTGCGCTGTTTTATGGGCCTACATACTGCAGCGACGATTTGATGTCCCAGCATTGTCCTTCGTGTTGATCTCCGTCGGCACGTTTTTTGTTGGGATCGTTGCCTCGTTGACCGTAATAGTAATCGAGCAACTCATGCAGCAGGTAAGGCTCTCGACTAATTCTTCCCGGTTCTTGGGGTACTAATTAGGGGGCCCACCTGGGTGAACAGGATTTAACTAAGAGCTTTTATGAAGGTCCCTAAAAATCAAGCGGGGCCGATGAGATGGAGAGAAGACAGTGTTGTATATAGGCGAATAAATAGTGAGCCACCAGAGTCGCAGCCCTGTTTCAGAGCTCTTTTCAGCTGACTCCTGGTATCGTGGCCTTGTCGAAAAGTAACTAAACAGGATCATTCCGTTGCTCATGGTTAACATCGATCCACTCCCTCGACTGATAATGCCCTGCTCGATCAATTTTTGAATCCTTGTGTTCTTTTCCGTAGATGCTCCTTTCAGGATCCCACTCTGATTGGTCCCCATACGATCTGCTCGATGGTCTTTCTTATACTGCCTCAGTACAACCTTGCAATGGCTATATTCCGTGGCAGTTTTGTGTTCCAGTTAATTCAATTCGGCGAAGATTTCCTCAGTACGTCCGATACCGTGCACCTACAGTTACCTTTCGAATAGCTCAATTTTGCTAGCGAATTATTCTTTCAGGGGAAATAAATCGTCAAGATCTAGCGTCATCACTACCGATCCCGTCTCTTCTTCAATGGTCCTTAATGGGCATGCATTGCGCATGTCTGGTGGCACACATTCTGATTGCGGCTTTTGTGCTCTTCGTACTGGAGCGGGAACCTTTCGGGTTTTTAAGGTATGTCTTTAGTTTTGATAGCGCATGTGATTCAATATCTGTCGTTCACATATAGCAGTAATATAATTCTCTATCACATGTAGCTCAAAAATAGGTCTAGCTGTTATACTAATATAGATGACAGTTTCCGACAATTGGCTGTATAGGTCAAGTTGTACTCAAATGCTGCTGCAATCCCGTATCGTAATAGAATGCGTGGCGCGTCTCAAAAGAGATCAAACGACGACGACAAAACATTGAACCCGTGTGGCATGATGTCGGTTTAGTCATATTTGAAACACAGAGAATTTGTAGCAGCAGCTCTGAAGGCATTGACCGATGCAATCCAACTCACATATTATCTTCACCCGTGACCTCATCTTACTTGTTTATTTTGTTATTCGTTTAGAAAGTGGGAGCAGATCTATACACGGCGACTACTTGAAAGCACGAAGAGTATTGTCGACGAGGATGTCATTGCTGAAAAGCGGAAAGTGGATCAACTCGAAGACTCTAGCGACAATCCGCTAATAGTCAAAGATCTGGCAAAGGTGAGCGATCTTGTCGTAGTTCCCAAAACACTATACTTTGCCACGTTGTGCCTGAGCGGGCAAGACAAGGAGAGTGCATCGACGACGCCTCACCCGCACCTCGTACAACGTGGATATAGAGAGGCTATCACCCCTCACAAGGAACCACAGCGAACGAGTCACGCGTGAGGAATGCCCTACTGCGGGCGCATGGCTGACGGTCCGGCACGGGCACCTGAGGCCTGTCGCTAGGGTAGTATTACATGCGCTACTATTGCGCTACGAGGACAGATGGCCGAGCACAGATGACTAGTAAAGATGAACCCGGTTGTCAACCATGGGTTAATGTTACACTAGGACAAGATTATTAACAAACATTCATATGTTATTACACATTTGTTATAATATGAAAAAGCAACGCTCGGAAATGAAGAATAAAAAAAGAAATAATCAACCATGACATTGTGATAAAAAGCTAGGGCAATAAAGGAGAGGCATGACTGATAATGAGCATAGACTAACCGGATGAAAAATGAGACGTAAGCATACCAGGTCATGAATGAGAGCAGCGGTTTAGAAGGAAGACAGGATCGCGACTGAATCGGGCGCCTGGGTCGAGACCACGGAAGCAGAGTAGCTTCCCGCGCCTTTGGCTCCTTTCACCGTTCGCACATTTGTTTACGGTGGTATGGCGACTGGAGCATGGTTTTGTTCCGACACATGCCATGGACGCTTTTAAGATCGCGTGCAAGCAAGACACCATGTGTGACAAACTCCAAAGCTCGGGTATGGAGTTTGTGAAGAGATTATGTAATCTCAAGTACCCTGCGGCTATGTGATACTGAGCAGTAATTTTATACTTGCGTACCTGGCTGCAATGAGGCAACAAATGGGTGCTGATGACTAGCATTGTACTATGCCCGCTGGGGTGATCTTCGTGAACTGTAAGTACGATGTGTTAGATTGGTTCGATTATTTAACTGTTAATTATAACTGATTCATCGCACATTCTTTGCATAGTTACACTCCTCATAATCTGTTTTTTTTTCAGGCGTACACTAAGAAGGCGCTTGCAGTACAGAACGTGTCTTTTGCCGTTGATCATGGCGAATGCTTTGGTTTGCTGGGCTTGAATGGTGCCGGGAAGACAACGACCTTTGCTATTTTGACACAAAAGATCCGACCAGGTTTTGGATCGGTACAGATCCACGGAAGGAGGTGAGGAGCTCATGTATACCCCACGTATTTGTCAGTTGTTCGAAGTCGGTTTTGTTGCCGTCATTTCAAAACCGCATTCTGCGTTGATTATGTGTGTGGAGACGGAGAATATTTGTTCTTCTTAACTGATGTACCCCTCCCATGGGGGTGTGAAGAGAAAAAGCACACCCTAGACAAAGGCGTAGTGTTTCGTTTATCTGCCCATACGATTAAAATGTACTGTCTTTATCCGGAACGATTCTGTATATAGTAAGAGAGCTCAAGTCACAATATGCTCCCTTGAGGGTGGTGCTTTTTTACTTGTGTAATTTGTCTTTCCCCAAAAATCTCAAAAAATGACTGTCCGTCCATAAGGTGGTGAAGCACCCTATTACAAATGGAGTAGCTCAGAGATCATTTTACGTACAACTTTTATTTCAGCATGGTTATCGGCGATCGGTCGTCTTTTGACCAAGTCGGCTACTGTCCACAGTTCGATGCAATGAACATGAAGTTGACAACGATGGAAAACATCGAACTGTTTGCTAGAATACGCGGTATCCCCGAGAGGCACATCCAGCCGGTACGTGGGCATAATAGCCATTTCGTCTTTTCATGATGTAATGACGCCAAAACTTCAGCTGGTCTCGCGTCTTCTCGTCTCCCTACATCTTAAAGCCTATTCTTCAACAGTCACTTCAGCCCTATCAGGCGGTAATAGAAGAAAGCTGTCCGTAGCGATTGCGCTGATCAGTCATCCGTCGCTTATTCTGCTTGTGAGTAACTACTTCTGTACGGGCGCAGTAAAACTACGATAGCAAGCTAATCACCACTTCAGGATGAGCCATCGGCTGGAATGGATCCGGGCTCTCAACAGTTTCTCTGGAAGGTGATCGATAGGTTACGGAAATCAGGGAAAGCTGTGGTAGGAGTTTTTCTCCTTTTTGAATTTCGGTTTGAAACTTCGGAACTCTTGAAAATTGAAATTCGTTCAGGTGATTACGTCACATTCGATGGAAGAGTGTGAAGCACTGTGTACTCGGATTGCTATCATGGATCGGGGCCAGATTCGATGCATTGGAAGCAAGCAACATCTTAAGAATAAGTAATAGTTTTCAACAGTAGCACTTCGTGGATGGGCCCATTGAGATAGCCTTCGAATACCTTAGCCCGCTAGTTTGAGTCCTGTCCCAGCTGGTGGAACTTCTTAGCTCGTCACTTACGTGAATGCCAGCTACCTCCTTCATCAGGAGATGCCTATCCTTAACACAGTATATAGTCTGCTAGGCGTTATAATACCGGCTACCACCTGTTATTGTCGTCATTTCAGATTCGGTGAAGGCCATTCTCTTACGGTAAAGATGACCAGCCAAAGTGATGCTCGACTTGCGGCTAAATTCGTCCTGAGCCATCTGAAGGGAGCCAAAGTGGAATCCATCCATTGCTCAACGGTCTTCTTCCATATCGATCGAGAAGTTTCTACTATTTCCGATATTTACCGAGTTGTCAATCAGGTATGCTATAACCAGTGCATTGTTATTTATACGGGTACTATTTGCCAAATAAGGCATATCGCTACTGAAAATCAATATCTGTGTGGTGTACTAGAAAAAAATCGCGAAAAAGAAGCCCACACGCCATACTTCCACAGTAAAAGTGAGAAGCTGTTTTTGACCAGGATTCATCGCAAAAATAGTTCAGTTCCTGTCAAAAGATCCAACAGAGCCAACTTGAGTAGGGTAAACAGGTGCAGTCTGGTTCGCTGCGGATGATGGGCGTGTCCGCGCGGCTGCGTTTGGCACACCGCCGGATCAGTTCTCCAACAGTTGTTTGAGTTGGTAATTGGCAGCAACTGGAGAAAAGCCACTGATACGAACGATGCGATATAGTCCAGTCGCTTGTCGAAAGAAAAAAAGAAAATTGGTTGGCGCTGCGCTAGAAATAGCCGCATGGGCACGACCCCTCATCTGTAGCAAACCAGACTATAGTACCTACATCTCTTATCTTTTTCAAACTATCCATACGTCGTTGTAATGACAGATGCAGATGTTTCTCCACATATTCGACCGGGTCACTCACGAAAGAACGTCCCGCTGAGGATTCTTCAACCACCCTGCCCTGGTTGAACAACCTATTTTACACTCAACGGGCTTGCGTAAGACTGATAGGCATACAAAAAGATTTTGTATTAGGTTCTTGCAGCATCTTTTATCTGGAAGAACTGGTAGAATTTTCATACTTCGTCGGAATTGCTGAAAATCATATTTTTCAGCTGAAAAGCGAATTTTCCGTCGAAGACTTTTCGCTATCACAGTCGACGCTGGCTGAGGTGTTCCATTCGTTGGCGACGCAGGCGAGCGCCAGCACTTCTGTTTCCTCAGGACAAACTACCTCTACGGCTGAAACCGATCTTACCGATTAAATTTTGCATATTTTTATATATCCTGAATATTAGAAATTACTTAGATGATACTAAGATGTATTAAAATCGTAGAAATCTAGTCAAATTACATCCTTTTAAGGAAACTCGTTATCAAATTACTGTTAATAGAAAATTTCGGCGCAGATTGGCTTGGGGGGAGAGCATTTTGTGCAATAGCATGAGGTATAGTCGGCAAGAATCTGTAGGTTTCACTAAGGTAAAATGCGTAATTCATCAGAAATTAGCAAAAGAAAACAAATAAGAATGCCACATGCCTCCCCTCTGAGCCGAACAGCGCTGAAAGTTTCTGTAATAATATGTGTAGAAGTTGTTATTGTGAATGTGCTGGTTGTTTCTTCTTTTGTCACGGGTAGTAACTGTGATAGTTGTTTGATGAAATTGTGATACGTGGTTGAGATAAAATGGTTATTTCCTCAATACTCTAGTTATATGTAGAATTTTTGGTCCACACACATTGTTCGATTCAAATTTTGCGATCATCTGTAAGGGTCAAAGATCTGTGTAGAGTTAGTGTGGGCACCAAAAAGGAACCGTATACTGGTTCAGTGCCAGAAGTTAAGATAGTATATCGAGGAGCTCGGTACGCAACCGACCCGCAATCCCAATTCAACTTCCCACACTCCCACCGAATCGATTGGAGCGAGAAAATATCCATTTTGGTATGCTTTGCACTGGGATTTTTAATTATGAAATTTTGTGAACCCTTAATGTAAACTGTCATTCACGAAGTATAGCAAAATACCCATATTTCAGTAAAAGACGCATTTCGCGTGCACGAGTCTTTGGATAAAGGTATCCCGGAAGCACATGAGTTGTCTTTTTCAAAATGTGTGATAAAAAGTTAGGTGCTCGTGGCGAACCTAATGCCCCTCCCACTGCTCCATACCACCTCTAGGCTCGTTTCTATCAATATAGTGAGTAGTAGCACGGTTGTCTCGCTGCTAGCTCCTTTTATTACTGAAGACGAGAAGTACATGGTTAGGGTAGACTGGATTGTCATAATAGGGCAGTTCGGGTGGGATGCTGCTGTTCTTCTCCGAGCTCTCTATGAATTACTTACACATCTGCTTTCTTTATGTTACCGCCTTCTCATCTTATTTGAGCTCCGCCATTGGAGATAGAAGTACCTTCCTTTACGAGGGCTATTCAAAGTATTTTCGGTATCGGGGCAATTTAGCAGTGACGAGGGAATCCGAGTCATTTCAGTAGATAACGACACTCCCTGAGAATACAATCAGTAAATTGCATTTAGTCACCCATAATGCTATTTAAGTCATCCTTGTTGAAAGATGAGCAGAATGACTGATGCGACAATGCTGAGATAATGACTGAACTAAACCAATTAAAAAAATTGAGAAAAATGGTTGGTGATGACTGCTTGTTCCAACCATAAAAGGTCTTCGTGGAAGGCGTTTTTCTGATGAAGAGCTGAAGGCGGCAATTAACGTACAATTCGGGGAAAAGGAGGAAACATTTTTAGAGGGTAATGAAAAGCTTGTTTCCTGAGCGAACAAGTGCATTGAGGCTATGGGGGCTACACTGAAATATATATTTTATCGAGAATTTTTGCCTGTTCCTTCATATCTATAACAAGATTACATCGAATACCCTTCGTAAGTGGTTAGGACGGGCTATTCAACTTGGCTGACGCGTACCCGTCACATTTCATGACCAGTAGCAATGAGATCGCATTGAGCGACCACTCAAATTTCGTTTCGTTCTCGCGTGATAACCGTGGAAAGCTGTTTCCAGTCATTCTCGTTTGACTTCCACACGTTGGAAGGTTGTGTTGCTCACACGTCTAGCCGACGTGTGATATGCTCTAATCAGTAGGATTGGATTCTAGAGGCAGTTGCACCTCCTTCTTTGGAAGGGAGTGTTAGTGAAGACTAGACAGAAGGTAGGTCCTCGTTCTTCACATTTGAGAATAGATATTCACTTCATTACTAGGTTGCTTCTCATGACCCTTAGCGAACGTCCCGCCTCATCTCGACCATCGTTTTGACAGAGGTCAGATTGCACCTATCCCTCTGCACGGTTACAAGTCATCTGTCAACCGGATACTCTCTCGCTGCGAGGGTCCAGAGCTGTTCTCTCAATGCATCTTCTGGCTGAGCATTCAGAGGAAGGAAAGTAAGGAAGGGGTATGAGTGAAGGAAGGAAGAAAAAGAAGGAAGGAAGGAGGCCTTTGCGGTGGACAGATATCCTGAAACTCCTGCAGCACTCATGTATTATCTTCCCACCAGTCGCATCGCCCGGCTAACTTCGAGCACTACTCCTTATCTTCAGCTGGCTTGGCCTCGCCTGGCGCACTTAAAGACAGCCCCCGCGCTCAAGTAGTACATGGTCGTCCTTCCTTGGGCAGGTAGTTCAGCCCCCAAGCTAGATACTATCTCACTCTCGCGACTCCTCAGCGAGCGAGAGCGAGCTAGAACCGCTCAAAGTTCTAGTTCTAACGCCTGCTCAGTTGGACCGCCTCACTAGCTAGCTGCCCTCTGACGGAGAGCCGCTCAGTTCCTTGTTGGGACGGCAGTCATTAATCGGAACTGCATGTATTTTTTGCTGACCGCGCTCGTGCTCGTAAATAATTCTGCTCTCCTTCATCACATTTTATTCATTGGGAGCACGTACAGTCAACAGCAACCCATCTCGTAAGGTAAAACGCGTAAAAATCACGAATGATGCAATTTCTGTGGTGCAAAAGCTCGACGCACTTCACTACACTAAGGCAGCGTTCATAGTTCGCGACAGCAGCGGCGATCGCCGCGATCGCCGCGATCGCCGGCGATCGCGGCGATCGTCGGTGCATGGCAGCGCGCGCCCCAACGCTATTACTTGCGCTCCGAAGGCTTCTGGGGGTAAGCGGCTCAATTTTATGCTTTTTTCCTTTGACTGCAATTTCCTTAGGTACTGAAGCTTGGTTTGACACAAGGGAAGGTGAGCCCAGCTTAATCGCTTTTGTTTTCTATTTTCTTTCTTATTTAGGATAGAAATGAGCAAAAAGCGCGAGAGCTTCACTTGAGGTACGTTTTTATTGCTTCTTTTTTTCATTCGTCGAGGTTGTACATGAGGTTTATGAAGTTTTCACCTGTTGATGTCGCGTAAAATGATTAGTGCTTTGGTTCCTAGGAGAGTTTCTTTCTGTTTCTTTTTTTTTCTTCGTTGTTTGAACTCGACTTGTAAACTATGAATGTTTTGGAAGTTGGAACAGCTTAGACGATAGGAATTCCTGAGGCGCATGCATAAAAAATAAAACAATTGAAGCATGCATAAATTGAAACAATAAAAACAAAAAAAGCTCACCCAGGAAATGGAGTTGGTCTTACCCCGACCTAAAAGGAAGTGAAACCTTCTTACCTCATATTCCAGATCTGCTTATGTGTAGAAAGTCGTAGTTTGTCTGTTAGTAGCCCTTATTAAGAGTAAAGAAGGTCTTACAAGTTGAATTCCCTTATTCATCAGGCGAGCATTCACAATAGCGTTGGGGCGCGCGCTGCCATGCACCGACGATCGCCGCGATCGCTGGCGATCGCGGCGATCGCCGCTGCTGTCGCGAACTATGAACGCTGCCTAAAAACATGCTCGCTACCGTAACCCTAAGTTCGGACGCCGGCTTTTTAAATGTTTCCTTTTCTTTTCAAGAGTTTTTCCTCTATGTTTCTGTTGTTTTTTGTTTTCTTTTCTTCGCATTCGATGATATCCACTACTGGGAGATGTGACAAAGTGATTTGTGAGCCAGGGCTTGCACAGAGACCGCAGGGAGGTGTGACTGTCAGGGCGCGATTTTGTTTATGGTGTTCTTGAGGGCTCTTGTTTCTTTTTTCCTTCATTGAGGAATTACTTATCAGCTACTGTTTCATAATTGATCAGCAATTATCCTTGACACTTTTATCGCGGGAGCTGTTTTAATAATAGGAACGGATTTGTTCTTTCACTTAGCTACTCATAATGCGCTGTTTTGATCGAACAGTAATAGAAGGAGGAACCGCACGCGATCTCACGCCCAGCTGCCACGCGAGCAGCTCGAGCAATGGTTTGTGAGGTGTACCAAATGGCTGTCTTTATATAGGGTGAGGGTATTATCACAATCAGAGCAACGTCCTAGTTTGTTACTTTTTATGGATTACCCTGCAGTTTTGCCTAGCGGTTGTACCCTAATGCTATCCTACAATATATAAATAATTTCAAATTTAGACAGTGACCTATATAATGACCTGTGGGGGCTACCTAAGCAGGTCACTTATATAAGTAGATGTGTCAAGTCACTATTTTATCACGAATCTGGTACCAATTTATCGTTCCTGGGTGGGGGGGGGGGTAGAGGGCTTGGTTCGCGTAGGGGAAGTCGATCCGAGATTTGAACCCCGGACCGCACGTGGTAAGCGCCCTTTTTACCAGTACACCAGCTCCGCCTCAAAGGTAACATAAAAACAGTGAAAGTGCTGAAACCTGTTCTTTTTCGGAATTCCTTCCCTCCCCCTTATCAGTGTAGATGCCTCCTCCTCTCACCGGATATCACTCTCACGGGTGGCTCAAATGTGGACCTTTCCATAGAGTATTGATCAACCAACCCTCGTTCTGATGGATATACCTACTTGCTGACTGCGCAGTGGGTTGCGCAAGCTTGGCTAATGCCGTTTGGACTCCAGAAATTTCGGCACCGAGCCCATTTTTAAATTGCCTAAGTCACCAAATCCGCTAAAAACTTGTATATAGGGGTAGTTTAACATCCTGATTACGAATATGACACTCATTCTTGGCGCTGGCGCCAAGAGAGGACACTACGATTACCTCCTGGGCTCAGCCTTAGCAGAGCGCAGGTAATCGTAGTGTTCGTGATCAGGATGTTAAACTACCCCTATATACAAGTTTTTAGCGGATTTGGTAACTTAGGCAATTTAAAAATGAGCTCGGTGCCGAAATTTCTGGAGTCCAAACAGCATTAGCGCAAGCTTCGTACGTGCTCAAATGACACTAAG